TTTCCATTATCAGTTCTTCCATTTCAGACCGGAAGGGCCTGATAATTATACTCTCATCTTCACTACTGTTTATCGTTTTATTGACTTACAGAAACTCTTACAATCAGCTATTATGCTCCATGCATATTTATTTTCATAAACTGTTTTCCCCTCTTAGTCACACTCTTGTTCCTCCTTTGTTGAATTCTAAACTGCTTTTAGTCTTCTGGCTTGCTACTTTGAGCTACTTCATACAGCTTTTATGTGACTCTCTTCCACCCCACCCAATGTCAGCATATATATCACCTTTTCCTAACTACTATCAGTTGTGATGAAGAGTCACTGGACTCAATGTTAACTTTGCTTTCTCTCCACAGATGCTGCTAGACCTGCTGAGTTTCTCCATCAATTTCTGTTTTTGTTTATATGACTCCTCTTGGAATCTAATGCCATCCTTGCTTTCTTTTGTTAGCCATAGATGGTCTACTTTCCTGTTGTTCTTTTGCCCAAAGGAATGTATCACTCCTGTAATGCAAGTTTGTTTCTTGCATTGTTTATTCACTGGTGTGCCTTTTAATGAAGTTATCCAATCTATTGCTCAGCTAACCTCTCAAACCTTTGAAGTTTTATTTGTTTAGGATCTTAGTTTGGGACTAGACTGTTTCACTTTCTATTCCAATATCTATATTTCTACCATGTTATGGTCTTTTCTTTCCTAAAGGACCTTGCAGACAAGATTCGTAATTAACCCCTTCTTATTGCACAAAACCAACTCTAGGCTTGCCCTGAGTTGGGTCCTCAATGTATTGGTCTAAAAGATCTATCCTGTACACACTCTAGGAACTCAGCTGCCAGAGTATCATTGCTGATGTAGCTTGCCCAGTCTATATGTATATTAAAATCATCCATGATTACTGTAGCACATGGTGCAATTATGTCTAACATCCTTTTTAATGCCATCCCCTACTTCATAACTGTTTGGAGGCCAATAGACAGTTCCCACTAATGTTTTCTGCCCCTTGTTGCTGCTTCACTCCACCCAGACTGATTCCACATCTACATTTCCTGACCAATATCCTTTCTCACCATTGCATTAATTTCATGTTCACGAACAATGCCACCTCACCATCTTTTCCACTTTTGTTTGGCCAGTCCTTCCTAGAGATTGAATAACCTTGGGTGGCCATTTCCCATCCTTGGTCACCCCATGTCACCATAATTGCATCTGTTTACAACTATTTGTTGTGTTGATTTGTCTGCCATTTTGTGACTATTCCATGCATTCAGATATTGTACCTTTAGATGTGTCATTTTGTGATTCTAATTTTTTTTGTACTCCAGCCCTATTTGCTGCTAGCCTTCCACTTTTGCTTTCTATTTTTCTCTTTCATTTCCATCCTTATTTCCTCACTCTTTTTTTCTTCTGCCAGCTCAGGTTCCTGCCCCCCTAGTTTAAACCCTTACTACTGTACTGATGAATGTCCCTGCAACGGTATTAGCCCTGACCCCACTGGGGTACAACCCATTCAGCTTGTACAGGGCCCATCTTCCCCAGAATTGTTTCAAATATCCCGAGAATCTTAATCCTTTCCTCCTGCACCATTTCATAGAATAGAATCATAGAATTCCTACAGTTTGGAAGCAGACCACTTGGCCCATCAAGTTCATACCAGCATCCAAAATGCTTCCCACCCAGATCCACTCCCCACCTCTCCCCTCACCACTACCACCACCACCTTACCCCTGTAACCCTGCATTTTCCAATGCCAATCCACCTAACTGCATGTCTTTGGATTGTGCATTGTTGGAGAAATATTAATATGGACTATTCTCCTATTTCTGATTATGTTAGCACATAACACTAGGAATAATCATGAGATTAGTATCTTTTGAGGTCCGTTTTCATTTATTTCCTAGCTTCCTATGTTGTGTTTGCAGGACCTCATTCTCTTCTTCACCTTTGTCACTAGCATGGTCCACGATCTCTGACTGTTTTCCCAATCCATTCAGACTGTCCTGCAGTTGCAGGCAATATACCATCCTAGTTGCATGTGTCTGCAGCTGCAGAACATCACCTTATTCCCTCTAGAATAGAATCTCCTTTCAGTATTGCTCTCGCACCTCACCCGCTATCCGTGCAGCTGAGCCATTCCTGGTAATGCAGTCTTTGCCTTTGCTGCATTCCCCTGAGAAACTATCTTCCCCGGCAGTATCCTAAACAGAATATCTGTTAGACAGAACTGGCCCTTGTATCGAGGTGGGATATTTGGGGTGGTATCAGTAAGACTTTATTCATGTAAAGGGCAAACAAGAGTGGAAATCTGGAACTTTCTTTTCCCCAAAAGCTCAGATTAGAGGTCTATTGAACAATTCAAAATTGGAATTGGTATTTTTAAAATGTGGAATAAACAGCAAGTTCTGCACTTTCCTTTAGCCGCCTTTTGTATATCTGTATGTTTTATTTAAATATTGTTTTGTGGTTTTAATTGGCGTGTTATGTTTTTCCGTCAGTCTGGAAGAGACTACAAATAAACTAAAGCAGGAGAAGGAAGCTCTAGAGCTGTCTCGGGCTGAGGTCACCCGCTTAACTAAGGTCCTGGCACTTAAAGACGAGGAGCTACAAGAACTCTTCGACACCCGGGCCGAGGCTGCATTGATTGCAGACTATAACAAGGTACGTGGAAAACAGCCAAAACATGATGGATGTGGTAGATTTGTAAGGGAAGGCAGCTATATAATTCAATTTTATTAAATCCCAACACAGGTGTGACATTTCATGGTCAGGTAGGGCTGGGCAGTGAGACTTGTTCATGCTTGAACCCTCTGTTTACCTTTAGGAACAGTGGCCAGACACTTGGTTAGACACTTCCAGCTAGCCATGGCGTGTCTCCTGAAGAAGGAAGGTGTAGGATGTGAAGATATTTTAATGTAATTGGTCCAATGGCAGAGCTAGTGTTTAGAGGGAGGAAGTGTTGTTGATCATCAGAGCATTGAGTGTTACGGGGTTTTGAGGAGATGGTGAGAGCTCAGCCATGGTTCAGAGCTCCTGAATATTCCAGAATTCAAATGGATGTGGAGCTGTTATAGTAACAGGTGGCTGGTCATATGATGGATGCTGAAAGCAGTACTCGTATGGGAATAGAGCAAGGGATTGAAACTGACTGCATTGCTCTGTTGTTCTGAGGGCTAGAATGGACTCAATTGACAGAATGGCTTCTCCATCTATGAAAATGATTCAATGAAGAGCTTTCCTCCTATCCCCTTCTCACCCCTACCCGTGTCCTGGGTAGTACCAATTCTGTACCTGAGCACCTCTCCCTATGATTCCTTATTTAGATGCTACAGCTTCAATGACCCCTTTCTCCTGATTTCCATTCCCTTTGGCTCTCTTATGTCTGCTTCTAAATTATACATTTTATCTGACTAAAATTACAAAAGATTGCAAAACCTCAGTAGGGGCTGCTGGGCATTTAATCAGTCTGTAACTGGATTTGCATTTGCACATCCTCTCCTACACCCATATTCTTTAAGATGGACTCCTGTCATTTTTAGCCTGACCTACTTCTGGCCTGTACTCCAGAGCAATGGCCTGAATCTCTAGAGCTTCTCCCAAGAAACTGGGTTATGCTCCAATTATTGACACAGATGAGCTTTTAGGAATACATGACTTCTTCAAATACCACTTGATAAAACTAACTCAAAGTGCAAGAATCTGAACAGGTTCATGACACCTGGATTGGAGCCAATAAATGCTCTGTGCTCACCTTTCTGTCCATCTTTTTAAAATGTTCCTGAAATCCTTGTCTGCGTTTTTAACAGACTTGACTTTGTTCTGTGTTGAACTCTAGCTTGAACAAATTGGATTTGTTGCTGTAATGTGTGCTTTCTTTATCTTGTGCTAGGTGCTGTGCTCTGAGTTGTCCTGTCTTCCAAGATCCCTAATACCCACCCACCCTGGCTCCCATGGTGCATTGAATTTATCCAGTTGCTCATTTTGTTACAGTTCCTCTATTCTTGTCTTTCAGTCTCTGATTGTGACCTCCTGCAGCCTCCAAGCACTCTGTGACATCTGATCTCTCAACTGATTTGCGGCATAATTGCACACTGCTCTCCATTAATTGTGGTACCATCTTCTGATACCACATCACACCCTAGAACCCCCCTTCTCTCTTTTGAGCCTCTTTGACTTACTTTGTCTTCTCCATTACACTCTCCTACATTCTCCTTTAAAAGGTTTCAGAAAATCTAATGGTTAATCACGCTGGTCACTTTCCACCCATATCTCATCACCCTTTGGGTGAAGACCTTTGGAACATTGTGGCTACAATGAAGATGATGTGAAATTATATTTAGAATTTTTTTTAATAGTTCATTAATTGAAATATTTCATAAGATGAGTGATTTTAAGAATAGAGAGAAAAATTATTCCCTCTGGCAGAAGAGTCAAAACCACAGGTATTAGATGTAAAGTCAGTTGGCAAGAAGAACAACAGGAGATGAGAATTCTTCTGGGAAGTTTTCGGAATCTGGATAGGTAATGGATATAAAACAGTTCTGGGACCAAATGTTAACATTTCTTTGAGAGACAGCACAGGCCCGACAAACCAAATGGTCTCCTGTAATGTGTGATTGCGACAATTCTCTGAACCATTCTTTGTGTAGGTAGGTCTCAGCCAAAAGTGTCTGTCTTGCTTGCTGAGTCTGTGAAACCAGGATCTCTGGACCAGTTTTCCCACTGTTACCACTAGCTGTGATCATATGTTCCTAATACTTTGTGTGATGATCAGCCATATAGGAAAGGCTACTAGTTTGTTCTCTGGTCTGTATGGAGTTTGCTAAAGTAGCAGCAGAGGGGTTTGTAAGGACATTATGTCCTGATTAATGCAATACTTTTTATTTGTTCATGGGTGTGGCTGTCAGCTTGAAAAGGGGAGGTAATGGCCTAGTGGTATTATCACTGGACTGTTAATCCAGAGACCCAGATAACGTTCTGGGGACCCAGGTTCAAATCCCGACATGGTAGATGGTGGAATTAAATATCTGGAATTAAGAATCTAATGATGACCGTGAATCCATTGTCGATTGTCAGGAAAAACCCATCTGGTTCACTAATGTCCTTTGGGGAAGGAAACTGCCATCCTTACCTGGTCTGGCCTACCTGTGACTCCAGACCCATAGCAATGTGGTTGACTCTGAACTGCCCTCTGGGCAATTAGAGATGCCCTCATCCCATGAAGGAATAAAAACAAAAATTTATTACCCATCTCTAATTGACAGTGCATGTGGTGTACATTCGAGGATGTTCCTAGATTTTGACCCAATGACAGTGAAGGAACGACATTATAGTTCTCAGTGAGACTTGAGTGGTTTGAATAGGAACTTGCAGGTAGTGGTGTTCCCATCTGCTGCCCTTGTCCTTCCAGATGGTAGTGGTTGTGGATTTAGAAGGTGCTGTTGAAGGTGTATTGGTGAGTCACTGCAGTGGATCTAGATAAATCGTACTTGCCACTTCCACAGTGCATTGGTGGTTGAGAACGTGAATATTGAAGGTGGTGATTGGAATGCCAATTGAGTGGGCTGCTTGGCCCTGGATGGTGTCAAGCTTTTTGAATGTTGTTGGGGCTGCACCCATTGAGGCAAGTGGGGAGTATTCCTCCACTTCTCTGACTTGTGGACTGGCTTTGGGATTTGTGAGTAACGATGAGGAAGGGACTTGATACCTCAACTCACTGGGTGAAAAATGAGTGTATCTTGGAAGTACATTCCAGTCAGCTGGGAAAGGAATGGTGTCTTGAGAATCAACTCGTACAAAAGGTTGATTCCTCAGGATCTAAATTAGGACCAAAGTGATCTCTTAGATTAGGTCTGGTTATGTGGGAAGAATTTTTTACATTTGTACCCCATCCGTCAAACCCCCAACGCCTCACCAAAAATCTCGCAATTGTCTATGCCCAGGAATATTTTTACCCTGCCGATCCTGGAAGAGTTCTTTTGCCTTGAATGGGGCAGGACTGCCAGTAAGATCATGCTTAATGTACCATGACCATATGAGACAGGCTGGTTGGAGCAGAAGGATTGTTTGTCACTTTAATATGTTGGAATTAAATATCTGGAATTAAGAATCTAATGATGACCGTGAATCCATTGTCGATTGTCAGGAAAAACCCATCTGGTTCACTAATGTCCTTTGGGGAAGGAAACTGCTATCCTTACCTGGTCTTGCCTACATGTGACCCACAGCAATGTGGTTGACTGGGTAATTAGAGATGGGTACAATTCTACAACAATGCGTGGCTTGGACAGTGAAATGACTGGGCTTGCTGCAGTCAGTGTGCAGAGGTGTTTGCTACTTATGGAGGTTTCTAGGGAATGTAAACCCTTGAATTTTTTTTTCTTTTGCTCTGTTTTCTTGAACCAGTTTATGGAGCAGGAGCTGAAGGTGTCCCGTGAGCATTTGATGGAGATGGAGGGGCAGCTCAGTGAACAAGTCCACCTCCTGCATGAACGCAACCTGCAATGTGAGGAGCTGCGGTGAGTGAGCCAGTGAGCAGACTCCCTTACCCTACCCTTTCCCAGGACAATATGTGTCCCTGTGCATGGAGTCAGACATTACAGTAATCAGCCAACTAAGGCACAGGGTCAAACGGGTAGTGACCTCTGATGTTTTATTTGAACACTGTTCCACAGTAAGGTGTAAACAGTTGTTTGCATGAATTATATAGGACCCTGCTGCGTAAAACCTTTATTGCAAGGGTGAGGGGTCTGACTGAGGAGCTCCTGTATGCGCGTTTTGGGATGCGTTAAAGGTAAGGAAAGATTTCCAAGTTCAGGCAGCATGGAGTGATAGCTGGGGGGCACTTTTAAGGCCAGATAGAGGAGTTATAGGGCTGAAAATTATTACAAAAATAGAGTGGGATAGAGCCGTGAACAGTTTATAAAAGAGAAGCGAACCTTACTGTGGATTAGATCAATGATGACAGGCTGTGTTTTAAGATGAAATAAACCATACAGGTTACCAAGGGCCAAGGATACTGACAGCAGTAGAGGTTGCAGGGGGAGGTCAGTAAACCTGAAATGGAGGGTCTTTAAAAACAATGCACTGACATTTGGGCGGTGATCTTATTTGGCATTGACTGAATGTGGATAAGCCCTCAATCCTGATTTGGTACATGAGTAAAACAGGTGTCTGTCTGTCTCAAAATATCAGGGCTCGGTGTGATGAGTGCCAAAGGAATCTTGATACGGTTAAGGAGGACGCGCGAGAGATGTTGCTGGAAATGGGACAGCAGATGAACCAGGCCACGGTAGAGATCACTGCCCTGAAGAATCAAATACAAGATGTCATCAAGTCAACTGGAGTCACTATGAAGAACTGCCAGCAGGTGGGTCTCCTGTTGCTTGGATTCTTCTCTAAGCTCTGCCTTCCTGGAGGCATAATGCACAGGGTTCCTGATAACCCAGACTGTAAAGTGAATAATTGTGCTGATGACTGCCCAGCGACTTTCTGGACAATGTTTAGCATTTGAATTTGGATATTATTGTCCTTCCCTCCATCAACAGAACCACTTACTTCCACCACTGTAACACTGTCCACCTCAGCCACTGCCTCAGCTCATCTGCTGAAAATCTCATCCATGACTCTGCCACCCCTTGAATTGACTATTCCCACAGATTCCTGGTCCATCTATTTTCCACGTGAAGCTCTGCTGCCAATGTCCTAACTCGCAACTGGTTCCAATTTACCCATCACTCTTATGTTCACTCACCAACAGTGATTCCTGCTCCAGAAACACCTCCATTTCAAAAATTCTCATCCATAGAATCATAAGAGTATGGAAAATCCATCGAGTCTGTGTACCACCAAAAATACACTACTACCTGCACTGGTCCCACTTCGCTGCACTAGGCTTACAGGCTTGAATGTTATGACACTTCCTGTACTCATTCAAGTACTTTTTAAGGGTTGTGAGATTTCCTGCCTCATCTATCCTCCCAGGCATTTCAGAGCCCCATCACCCTCTGGGAGAAAACTGTTTTCCTGCAATCGCTTCTAAACTGCCTGCCTTTCACCTTCAAATTATACCCCCTTGTTATTGATCCCTTGACCAAGGGGAACAGTTGCTTTCTATTCACTTTCTATGCGCCTTATAATCTTATACACCACTATCTGGTCCACCCCCAAGTCTTCTCTAGTCCAAAGAAAAAAATCCGTCTCTTTGTAGCTGAAATGCTCTGTCCCAACGAATGGTGGTGGTGAATCTCCTACGCACCCCCTCCCAGTGCAGTCAAATCCTTCCTGGTGACCAGAACTGCAAGCACAACTCCAGCTATGGCTGAACTAATCCTGTACAGCTCCAACATAACATCCCTGCTCTTATAATCTGTACCACAACTGATCAAGGCAAGCTTTCCATATGCTGCCTTAACCACCCTATTAATCTGTCCTGCCATCTTCTGGGATTTATGGACAAGCATCCCGAGATCCCTCTGTTCTTAGCTTCCTCGTGTCCTGTCATTCATTGAGTACTCCCTTGTCTTGCCCCTTCTTCCATCACCTCACACTTGTGGAAATTAACCTGAACTGTCATCTGACCAATCCATTTGTATCTTCCCAAACCTAACCCCTTCCTCCTCTGTGTCATCTGCAAACTTCCTTATTACCACTACCACAAGCTCTGCTCCACCCCCAACCTTCTTATCTATGTCACTCATGAATGTCACAAACAGTAAAGGACCCAGCACTGATCTCTGTGGTTCACCACTGCACATCACGTTCCAGTCTCTTAGTACTGTTGTCGAATTCCTCTGCTGTTTCTGACTTCACCCTCCTTATTAACTGCAGAACTCTGCATCTCCAATTCTGGCCTCTTCAGCATCCCTCGTTTTCATGCTGCTCATGCTTTCAGCTGCCTGAGCCCTAAGCTCTGCAATTGCCGCAGAAATCTCCCTCTCGCTTTTGAAGATGCTCCTTGAAACCTAGCTCTGACAGACTTTTAGTCACTTGTCCTACCTAATATCACTGTGTTGGCCCATGTCAAAGTCTATGTTCCCGTGTGAAGTGCCTTGGTGCTTCACTATGTTAAAGATGGTTACATAAATACAAGTGTCACTTGGTGATCTAGAACTTCAGTATTAGTGAAAAGAGAGATGCTGTGAAAACTCCTCAATTTGCTTTCACAGAACAGATGGCAGGAATGTAAATTTTCAAGGAGAATAACAATTTCACAATTACTGAAGTGTTGCAGGGCCTGGAGGTGTTCTCATAAACCCTGTCTGTGCACTCTCCAATGCCTTCACATTCTTCCTGAAGTGCGGCACCCAGATCTGTAGCTAAGGCAAAGTTAGCATCTCATACAACTTCCAGAATTCCAATAATTACAGTACAGAAGTAGGCCAGAATCAGTGTCTTGCCTGATATTCCTGTGATATGTTGTTTTCTTAAGAATCGTCTGGTGGCCGTTGCCAAGACTAACCAACTACCCGCTGCGACTGAAACACGGGAGGCAGCAAAGGAAATGAAGGAAAGCGCCAAATCCAGTGAAGGTAAATTGATGAGTGGGGGCAAGAAGTGGAATATAGAGTGGGTTTGATACTTTCTCTGGATTTGACTGACAGGGTGAGGATCTCCTTTCCAGGATTTTGCTCACAATTAAATTCTCTTCCTCTCCATGCACAGAATACAATAAAACATATCCGGCATCATCAAGGCAGTTTACAGGGAACTTTTATCCGCAGCCACCTTTTGTGTGCCAAATACTGTATACAACTAGTGATAGATGGAGCAAAGTGATTCCACAACCAATAGATTGTATTTAAGTTCTACAATCCTGCCACATTCTGTTGTGAATGGTGATGGATAATTAAGCAACTCACTGGAGGAGGAGGCTCCATAAATATTCCTATCCTCAATGATGGAAGAGCCCAGCACATCAGTGCAAAAGATAAAGCTGAAGTATTTGTGACAGTCTTCAGCCAGAGGTGCCGAGTAGATGATCCATCTCTGCCTTCAGTGGTTACCAACGTTACAGATTCCAATCTTCAGCCAATTCGATTCACCCCACATTATCAAGAAATGGTTGGAGGCACTGGATACTGCAAAGGCTATGGGCGCTAACAGTATTCCAGCAGCAGTACTGAAGACTTGTGCTCTAGAACTTGCTACTGCCCTAACCAAATATAGCTATTCCAGTACAGCTGCAACACTGGTGTCATCTGACAATGTGGAAAACTGCCCAGGTGTTTGTCCTGTGCACACAATGCAGGACAAAACCAACCCGATTAATTACTACCCCATCAGTCTACTCTCGAACATCAGTAAAGTGGTGAAAGGTTTCATCAATTGTGCTTTCTCAGTAGAGACTATCTGCCCCCAGCAATCCATTCTGCCAATAAAGTCATCCACTTTAAATTGGGAGAGGGGAGTGTGCAGCCATTCAGGTAGTAATCTACCTTCTTGTTTATTGCTTCTGAAGTGAATAACCTCGCATTTATCCAAATTATACTGTATCTGCCATTGATCTGACCACTCACCCAACCTGTTGAGATCATGCTGAAGGATCTCTGCATCCTCATCACAGTTCACCCTCCCACCCAACTTGGTATCATCTGCAAACTTGGAGATGTTACATTTTGTTCCCCTCATCCAAATCATTAATATATATTGTGAATAGCTGGGGTCCTAGCACCAGTCCCTGTGGTACCCCACTAGTTACTGCCTGCCAATTTGAAAAGGACCCATTAATTCCTACTCTTTGTTTCCTCTCTGCCAACCATTTTCCTATCCATCTGAATACACTTCCCCCAATCCCATGTGCTTTAATCTCGCACATTAATCTCTTATCTTTGTCAAATGCTTTCTGAAAGTCCAAATATACTACATTGACTGGCTCCCCCTTGTCAACTCTACTGGTTACATCTTCGTAGAATTCCAACAGATTTGTCAAGCATGATTTCCCCTTCATAAATCCATGCTGACGCTGTCTGATCCTGCCACTGCTTTCTAAACGTTCTGCTATAAAATCCTTGACAATGGATTGAGAATTTTCCCCACTCACCGGTCTGTAATTCCCTGTTTTCTCTCTACCTCCCTTTTTGAATATTGGAGTGATATTAGCCACCCTCCAATCTGCAGGGACTGTTCCAGAGTCTATAGAATCCTGGAAGATGATCACCAATGCATCCACTATTCCCAGAATTACTTCCTTAAATACACTGGGATGTAGATTATCAGTCCCTGGGGATTTATTGGCCTTCAATCCCAATGATTTTCCCAGCACCATTTCTCTACTAATATTGATCTCCCTCAGCTCTTCCCTCTCACTAAATCTTGCCTCCTCCAACAATTCTGGTATCTGATTTGTGTCTTCTTTTGTGAAGACAGAACCAAAGTATGTATTCATTTCCTCAGCCATTTCTTTGTCCCCTATTATACATTTTCCCATTTGTGTCAGGAAGGGGACCTACATTTGTCTTTACCAATCTCTTTCTTTTCGTGGAACTGTGGAAACTTTTAGTGTCAGTCTTTATGTTCCCTGCAAGCTTAATTTCATACTCTAGTTTCCTCTTCTTAATCAATCCCTTGGTCCTTCTTTGCTGAATTCTAAACTGTTGTCAGTCCTCAAATTTATTATTTTTCTTGACCAATCTGTATGCTTATAGAACATAGAACAGTACAGCACAGTACAGGCCCTTCGGCCCACGATGTTGTTTTTCTGACCTATTATCCTACTCTAAGATCAAACTACCCTGCATACCCTTCATTTTACTATCATCCATGTGCCTATCCAAGAGTCGCTTGAATGTCCCTAATGTATCTGACTTGGATTGGATACTGTCTCTTATTTCCTTTGTAAACCATGGATCGGCCCTCTTACCCATTTTACTTTTGCGACAGACAGGAATAAACAGTTGTTGCAGTTCCTCCATCTGTTCCTTGAATGTTTGCTATTGCCTTTCCACTGTCATCCCTTTAAGTAACTCTCCCCAATCTATCAACGCCAAGTCACGCCTCATATCCTTGTAGTTTCCTTTTAAGGTTCAACACCCTAGTCTCTGAATCAACAACCCCACTCTCCATCTTGATTTTAAAAATGTTATCATGTTATGGTTGCTCTTCCCCAAGGGGTCTCGCACAGCTAGATTAACAATGATTCCCTTCTCATTACACAGTACCCAGTGTAAGATGGCCTGCTGTCTTGTTGGTTCTTCCACATATTGGTCAAGAAAACCATCCCGTATACATTTCAGGAATCCTTCTCTATGGCATTGTGGCTAAGTTGATTTGTCCAATCTATGTGCAGATTTAAATCACCCATGATCGCCGATATTCCCTTTAATACCATTCTTGACATCACTGCAATTTGGGGGTCTGTATATGACACCCACTAATGTTTTTTGCCCCTTGGTATTTCTCAACTCTACCCATACAGACTCCACATTGTCAAAGCTAATGTCCGCTGTTCCCGTTGTGGCCTCCTCTACATTGGGGAAACCAAGCGGAGGCTTGGGGACCGCTTTGTGGAACATCTACGCTTGGTTCGCAACAAACAACTGCACCTCCCAGTCGCGAACCATTTCAACTCCCCCTCCCATTCCTTAGATGACATGTCCATCCTGGGTCTCCTGCAGTGCCACAACGATGCCACCCGAAGGTTGCAGGAACAGCAACTCATATTCCGCTTGGGAACCCTGCAGCCCAATGGTATCAATGTGGACTTCACAAGCTTCAAGATCTCCCCTCCTCCTACCGTATCCCAAAACCAGCCCAGCTTGTCCCCTCCTCCCTAACCTGTCCTTCCTCCCACCTCAAGCCCCACCCCCATCTCCTACCTACTAGCCTCATCCCGCCCCCTTGACCTGTCCGTCCTCCCTGGACTGACCTATCCCCTCCCTAAGTCCCCACGTACTCTCACCTTTACTGGCTCCATCCCCGCCTCTTTGACCTGTCTGTTTCCTCTCCACCTATCCTCTCCTCTATCCATCTTCTATCCGCCTCCCCCTCTCTCCCTATTTATTTCAGAACCCCCTTCCCCTCCCCCATTTCTGAAGAAGGGTCTAGGCCCGAAACGTTAGCCTTCCTGCTCCTCTGATGCTGCTTGGCCTGCTGTGTTCATCCAGTTCTACACCTTGTTATCTCGTCCTTTCTCACTATTGTTAATTTCCTCTTTAATCAGCAATGCAGCTCTGCAACCTTTTTCTTTTTTACCTATCCTCTCTCTCTCTGTCTGTCTGTAATTTGTGTCTTCAACCAGCTACATGACCCATGACTCCACATTTTTTGGCTTTCTATTAGTCCATTATGGGACACGTTATTGAAAGCTTTTTGGAAATCCAGATAAATTGCATCGACTTCATGAGTATTATCTAGTCTGTTGCCTGCTCAAAAAAAAATCAATCAGGATGTTCAAGCAAAATTTTCCCCTGTCAGCATAGATTTCACTTCACAGGTTCTATTTCCATTTTTAAATGTTCTGCTATTGTCCCTTTGGTAGAGATTTTATTTTTCCTACTATTGATGTTGAAATGACTGACATAACTAAGTGGACCTGTTCTGTTCCCCTCCCCCCCCCCCCCCCCCCCCACCACCTTAAATATAGGCTATCTGCTGTTCCTCTTTATAGTAATGTTTCTGCCATGTCTTCCTAAATTCTCTCAATCTGTTTGTTTAATTTATTCAATACGTTCTATTTTTGTACTTTTAAATTACCTCTTTCATTATCCATTTCATCATTCCATGTCTTGTCTGCTCTTAAGGGTCACTCTGAAGGATGGTTATATGATCATTATTATGTGTTCTTTGAGAGTGTTTTTAAGTATTGAATTCACATTTCACTATCTCTCCTGGGGGGATTCAAACCTATGTCCCCAGAACAGTGGCCTGGAGTCTTGGATTGCTAGTGCACTGACATTACCACTACACTATTGCCTGCCCTCCATTATTGCCCAGATATTCCCCTATGTTCTTTTTACTTAATGTAATTGCTTTGGTTCATTCCTTGTTCCTAGATCCAATAGCTGATCTTGCTTTTACTGGTTTTAATGCATGTGGGTTAGACACTGGTTACAAATTGAGGGGACCTTATTCCTTTTACCTAACTCTTCTGTCCAATTAATATCAGGGTAGTTGAAATAAGTTATGATTATTTTGTTTTTACTCTTGCTCCATTTGCTAAATTTGTCTGCACATTTCTTCCTCCACCTCCTTCCACTATTAGGTGGTTGGTAGATCACACCTACTGGTGTGTTTGATCTTTAATTCTCTTTTCTTTCTCCCCCTGTGGATTCTACTTTTGTCTTACTGATAGCTGTGTCCCTGTTTTTTTTTTAGTTAAATAGCTTTCCAATGTTCAACAGCCTTGGTTCACATAGAGCATGGCAACAGAATGTGATGTCAGAGGGCATTGATGGAACTGTGTATTCTGTGATAAGGCAACATCTCCGTAATTTGAAAGCAGTTTTGTTGTGTTGAGATGGAACCATACTGTTTTTTGGTTACAGCATTGCTGAAATTTGTCTTCTTTTATCCTATGGTCTGTTCAGAGCATCACGAAGGGACTCTGTGCAACATCAGGAGTGACCAGAGTGCCTTTGCTCCCATCAGGTCAACAATGCTGAATTCACCAGGTAAGATCCTAGTACAAATAAGCAGCAGCCACCATTGTCTTTACAGAGGTATTCATCAATCCTTACTATATCTATTCTGGGAGTGTTTAATGAAGACAGTGTTAAAGAAACTTTATTCTATCTAACCCAGTGCCATGCCTGCACTGGGAGTAATGTGGAATGTAGTGTCCACCATGAAATTGTGACCGTCTTTTTGTCTGACAAACACACAATTCACTTGTAATAGATGAAGTAATTATCATTACAAGGTGTGTGAGCATAGGCTGGGAATGATCCTCCCTCCACCCTCCTGATTTGAAATTGTTGAATTCAGTTTGGTTTGGAGTTGGAGTAGTTCTGATGTCTTGCAAATTTTCTGAACTGATATACTGGAATACACCACAATATTCTAATGTCTTTGGATGCTTTTTAGAAACTCTACGTTCCTCTATCCACCAACTCTGTACCATCCCAATTCTTATCATTCACGTTCTCATTGTTCATGAATTACCCATCTTATCCATCCCACCTCACACTGCACCACTTCCTCCATCTGGTGTTCCCATGTGAACCCTACTCAGCCCTCTCCTTGATTCACGTTCTCAGCGATTACAGTACCATTCTCTGGTTTCTTCTCTCAATCCTCTGCCTCACTGACTTTGCATTTCTGTAAAGGTCTCCTGAAAATCTTGCATTTCAGTCTCCCACTGTCGCTCTGTGGCCTGTTATGATTTGCTGATGTTGGCTTATTGTGTAGAGCTAAGTGGCTGTGTAACCACTGTCTTTGTTTTTTGCAGAATGTAATAAAGCAGCTCCTCTTGATATTGAAAGCTGTCATGGTGCCTTCACAAGAGTTGAGCCCACAACTCCCAAGAAAATGGGTGAGGTGTTAGTGTGGTTTAACTTTCACTGTATATTAATTGGGTGAATAAACTGGCAGGTTCTGCGCATTAGAAAAAGGATGAAACAAGTCCTTTCTCCCTTCTGGGTTTGTGCAGGACACCATCAGCGTGTTGTGTATCAAAGGGAAATTGGTTTGGCTGCAGCATTCCTCTTGGTGCTCTGAGCAGCTGTTACTCAGTTTGATACTTCTCTTCCCACTATAGAAAGAGAAGATACTCTGTTGCCGACTGTGGCTGAACTGCGAGAGTCCACCCAAAAGCTCCTTGAGGTAATACAACTGCGGGTAAAGGACCTGCAGGACGAGATGTAAGTACAGAACTTGAAACAGCTATAGTTCCTTTCAAATTGCTAATTACTGAATGAGGTAAAATGGTGTGAGCATTTAGCATTTGATATCTTTGTTGTTCAGTAGTTCTGTGTCTCAGGAACTGAGCCAAATTTGATGTCTATCAGTGGGTAGCACGAACCCTTCCTTCCCGATTAGAAGGTCCTTGGTTTAAATTCCACTCAGGAGACTCGAGCACCAGGTCAAGGTTGATATTGGTGCCTTGCAGTTGCCAGGATCAGTGCTGCACTGTCCTGGTGCTGCCTCCTGGATGAGATGTTTAACTGATACACATCTGTTCTTGTGTGTGAATTTAAAAGATCCTATAGTTATTATTTGGAATGTGGGTGCATTCTCTCTAGTTTTCTTTTCATTACTTATCCCTCCATTAGTGATTTTAAAACAAAATGTGTTCATTGATTTCATTTGTGTGTGGAATCTGGCTGGGTTTAAATTGGCTGCCATTTTTCTTATGTTACAACAGTGACCAGACCTCATTGGCTATAAAACACTTTGGGATGCTCTGCAATTGTGAAAGGTGCTATAGAATTGAAAGTTCCTTCATTACCAATGAGTGAAATGAGGTATTTAAGTTTGGCACCGTGTAATGCGATCACTGTTCATACCAGTTGGTGATGTCTGGTCCTTCATAAAATGATTATTCTCTGTTGTGAGTCAGTAGTTTTATTCTACTATTTCTCTGCTGTGATCATCTTGCTAAAACCTGATCCTGTTTGTATGGGATCCTGGATGCAGATTAGAAGCAAGACCCTTGGCTACAGCCTGCTCCTACCATCAATTCATGAACACTAAGGCCAGCTGGAATGTCCAAGCTGATCTTGGTGAATTTAGCACAGGCTAGGGCTACAAGGAGCCTTCACATCAATACACCTTAGCTGCTCACTGGACAGTTCCTGACTCTGATTTGTGAAGCTGAAAATTGGGAAGGGAGCATGACCTGTCACCTGCTGCGTCTCTAATCCTCCCCATCTGCCAACTATTCAGCCCAGCTTTGGAGCCAAAGTTTAAGGGAGCATGCTCCTCTCCAAACTAGGTTAGCCCTTTTAACTTTGTATGTTGCTCTCCAGCCTTTCTCTGCTTTATGGTTTATAGTGCACTCATTGAGGTGACTGTCTCAGCTCTTGCAGGATACAGATGTTGGAGATGAAGGAGTTTATGATGAAGGCCTATTGCATGTAGGCATTACTGGGCACAGTCTCTGGAGTTGCCTGCACTGGAATGCTGTCAACTACTTCCCCTTTGCTTCCCATAAACAACATACAACAGGCTTGTGAGGAAGGTTACAGTTCACAGATTTAAAAAAAACAAAGTAACAACAGTTGACACAAAATTGCCTGAATGATATCAAACAAAGTAATGTTCAATGGATATTATTCGAGCTGGAGGAGGGTTTGTTGTGAGATTGCCCAGGGGTTGGTACTGTGCAGGGGATAATTTGCAGATGATGCAAAACTTGGAAGAATTGTGAACTATGAGGAGAACATCGTGGAGCTCCAAAAAAGAGACTGACAAGTTGGTGTAGGTGGCAGGTGCGATTCAATACAGAAAAGCATGAGGTGATGCACTTTGGTCAGAAGAACATTGAAAGACAATATAAAATATGGGAACAAAAACAGAAGTTGCTGGAAAAGCTCAGCAAGTCTGGCAGCATCTGTGAAGAAAAATCAAAGTTAACAT